TGGACAGGCAAAAGATAGCAGATAAATTAAAAGGTGTTCTCCCCTTCAAGGAATTCTGGGATACTGGATGAAACTGAATCTAACCTCCACAGGAAAGGCAGAGGGACCCACCTGAATCAAGCCTGAGGGACTCATATTATCTTTGCGTTTGTAGACAACCAGCCTTCCCGCACGGGAAACACCTGCATAAACAGGCAAGCCTTTGCCCCCGTGCAGCTTCTCCGGCAGTTTGTCCAATGTGTCTGCCCGCCAGAACTTTAGATTTTCTGAGGTTTTGCATGATGGCACTCCACTATCAGGAGTCTCCAAGACAGGTATCTCAGGCTTCTTGTCCTTGTCCTGGTAGGACGGCACTGAAATTTTCACTCTGGAGCAGTAGAGAGGAGGGTGGTTCTCATCCTGGGCCTTGTGTTCCGAAGCCAATTCAATAATGAAGCTACCCACTTTGAGGCACTGTGGCACGTTACTGTTGATATGCTGTGATAAGATGGTCAAGATCTTATCATGATCTTCCTCCCAGTTGTAGTCAGAAATAATCTCGATAAGTTTGGTTGGTCCACCTGGAGTGGTGTGATGAACATAGGAGGTGGAGGAAGAGTCCCCCTCACTATGGGAAGACCACCAGCTTTTCTCTGAGAAAGAATTGAAATAGGTTTCTGCAATACTGTGGCATTTTAATCACCTGGATATTCAAACAGTTTTATTCTGCCCACACCTCCACCCTTGTCTCAGCTGCAGGGCAACAGGAACTGTTCAAAGCATCACCTCCCCTCGCAGAACTTCACAAGCAAGCAAAAACTCACTACAAAACTAACGTAACTATTTCTCAGTCATTCCCTGTAGCCATACATCTCGGGCTGTATCCCATTGCATCACAAGCTAAACGAAGCTGGGCTGTTTCAGTACATGGAAGAAAGATCTCCAAACAAACACCAACATGCAGTAGAAAGCATCGCTGGTAATTCAAGAGATGGCACTTTTCTCTTGAAGTCAGAAAAGGACCCGTGTCCTATAATGGCACGAGGGGCGGGCATGCCACAAGCAGAACTGTCTTTTGCAGAAGATGTATAAAAGGAAGCACGACCTTTTGTTGTCATTATTGGTCCAATGTCACTTTTTGCAAAACTGTAAGGATGTTGAGCCCTGTGTCCTGGCCATTTTAATTTCACCTACCAAATTACCAGCGTTTTCAACTAGTTGTATTATTTTTCCATTCCCATCCTTAAATGTAGAGTGCGCTGTTGTACACAATAAACAGTGAAAAAATGCAGCTCAAAAAGGCAGCTATACTTCATTAGTGAATGACACAATGCCTCTAGTATGTCTCACTAGGCCACAGTGATTTAGGTCACTTCAGACTGAAGGAGAACACAGATGTCTAGTCTACTTCTTTATGAACTAGAAACTCAGGCCCAGTACACATAACGTAACAAAACTTCAACCTTTCAATTTGAGCTAAAAGAATTCAACAACAAAACTCCAAATAAACTTTAAGCGCTTCCTTGTCCCATACAGTTCTAAGTGGAGAACACAAGGATCCCATCCTCACAGTACCACTTGGATATTTATTAGTTCTTCAGTAACTACAAAGTAATAGTAAGGAAAAAAAAATAGAAAAAACAACCCTAGACAAACAAAATCCAGACATCTCCATTCCTTCTCAAGCATCTTATTATCACTCTTGAATGTAAGTCTGCTGTGCAATATTATATTTCATCACTAAACAAGCTACAGTAAATACTGGTCATTTTGACCTTAGAGCAACAGCAAGCACTGAGTATGTAGCCTGCCTTCTCCCCCATATGACACACACAGCTGCTTAAGAAAACAGGAAACTGAAGCACTTCATAAGATTTTTATTGACAACTGTAATAACTTCCTCAGTAAATGGACTCGTTTCATCAACAGCTGCAACTTTTTTAAAAAATAAAGCCAACACAAAACCCCTGTAAAAATATGGAACTACCAAGAGGTTGAATTATACTCAAGACTCAGCTCTTACCTCCTGATTTACCAGTATCCTTGTCTATCTCACAGGTCGATTTCTCAGGAGGCTGAAGCTCTGGTTCATCCTCCTATGGGAGGAAAGAAATGAAAGAAAAAGATTCACCCTGTGTATCTCTTCCATGCTAAAATCACATCACAAAATAAACAAGTTCATCATACTGTCCCCCTGAATCATAAAACATACGCCAACTTTGACAACATTGCCATTTTCAGCTTAGAACAACTCAACTATGAACATTTAAGCCTTACATGATAATGCACTTGGCAGCCAGCAATCTCACAGACAAGCCAATCTCTATCATAGTAACGATTTTACCAGCACTATTAGGTGATTTAGGTTTCAGACTCCACAGCCCTATCACCATCAAATGTAAGGCAAGCCCTCGTATCACATAGGGGTTTCTGGGGAAAGAAGTTACTCCAACATTTTCAATAATTCTGTCTGCTCTGTAGTACGTGCTAGTTACAGTGTGACCTCATACCTTTATACTAGGACTCTGCAAATCACTTTTGACTTTTTGCTGCTTTCTCTCCTCTCTCCTGCGTTCATACACTCGGACCCTTGCACAGGTCATCATACTTTCAAAGTACAAGTAGACAGGATCCTTGTCCTCCTCTCGAATCTACAAAATAAATAAATAAATAAATAAAGGTGTTAGATTGGCGTTAATGAAACATTTTGCCTTTCTAACACTTCAACATTAGTGCTTCAGTAGTAAATGCCAAAAGAAATGCCTAGCATTTAAAGCCGAATTTGCCCTCTTGGTATCAAACAGCCCACAGTCTACATCTTGCTTCCAAATTACATATTCAGGGCTGGAGGGGGGAACACCACCACCCCCAAAAACTCAAACTTTTTCAGATACTCTTCTACGTTGGAAAACAAGTCCTAAGTGTCATGTATCATTTAGCATTATGTGGTGTACATTAAATAGCAACTCTGGTATGTTTGTTCTTCAGACATAACTAGGCTCAACTCTGCTGCTCTTCTTCCTCTACTGCCGTTGCTGCTTTTGTTAGATACTACAGCGTGGGGAGAGACACAGGCAGATTCTTCCACTACTGGCAGTGAAACCACAGACAAGAACAAAAGAAGACTCCAGAAGTACACTGCATACTGTATCTCTTTTTTAATCAAGTAATTAATTACTTAGATAGTCTACGTAGCATATATTATTGCATTTTTTAAATGAGGCTATTAGTGAATCATAATCACCTTTCACCACCTGCATATTGCTACAGTAAATTCTCAACAGAAGACGGACATAGTTAAAGATTTATATACAGTCAATTTATCCAACCTTATCAACATACCTCTGGCAGTCAATCTTAAGCTTTCGTCTCAAATTTCATCTAAAATGGCCTAGCACAGAAGCTTCTGGCAGTGTTTGCTTTAATTTTCAATACAAAGAGGAACAAACGCATCTCTTTTCCTTCCTTACCACTGGATTTGGTTTAGGAGTATACACTCTGCCTGGTTTTACTCCACTGGAAGACCTAAGCTTAGTAGAAACCACGACTTCAGAGCTGGGCAGTACTGCAGATTTAACTGGTTCAATAACAGACGGTGTTGGGATATAAATTGGCTCCGGATCTATTTCACCTTCTACTTTCACCCACAAAGGACAATTCCTAATAGGCTGTTCTGGCTCCGAGTCACAGATAGCTGAAAAAAAGAGGAAAACCAAAACCAACTTGCTTATAAATGAACCAACATTTAACACAGCAGTAACAGAAAGTTTTCTTTGAGCCTGAGGTCTGGCCATGCAAAAATCACTAGTTCATACTGCCAGAAAACACTAATGGTTGTTTTTATTGTCTCAAATTCTAGCCAAAAGTGACTGGAATTTGTCCACAAGAAAGAGGAAATAAAAACTATTCTATGCTAATCATTGTTTCTCACTTGTACTGTGACAGCAGATACAGAAAAAACACTGAAAAATCAGTGATCTTCACTGATGCTGTGTACTTAAAAACTACAAAAACAGCCCCCCAAAAAAACAAGACTTCATACTACAGCTCTATGGAAGGAAGAATTCTTTCATTCCAGTGGAACACCTATGTAGGTGTTCAGCCATTACTAAAAGTACTACTAGCAAGAAACTGAAAGTATAAATTCATAGACAATTTCTACCAATTTGGCTTTCTAAGCATACCTTAGACCAGATCTGAAACCTCCATAAATCACTACATTTCCACTGAAGTCAATGCACTAAGCAGCTATTTACAGCAATTGAAAATGCAGCTCTAGAAACTCACTTCATATGAGTGAAAGAAAACAGCAGTATGACAGTGCAGATTACCAACAGTGACAGCAGTAGTTGTCTCACATCCTTAGTCTTTAAAAAATATTTGAAGAATTGAGTGAGGGCTTAAATTACCAAAAAGAAACTCCAGCTCTTTGATCACAATGAACAACTAAGTAGTGTCCCAAAATACTGATAAGAGTTAAAAAAAGAACGGAAAAGGTGCTATTTCCTGCTAGCCAGCTATACAAAAGCAGATGTTGCAGACATATCTTGGAAATCACCCCCAATTCCTGGATTTAGAAATGGCATCAATACTAAAAATGCCCACCAAGACAGGTGGTTTCTGCAAAGCTCTAAGTAACCACTTTTGCCCAGCAATACTCACTGTATTCCACCTTTTTTCTCCTCCTCTTATCTTTCTGTTTCAGCTCATCTTCCTCCCCATCACCGTCTTCTTCCACATCTTCATCCTCTTGATGCTCTTCTTGCGTTCCATACAACACGAGATTTCCACGTACAGCCTTTTTCATTATTTTCTTATGTTTTGATCCTCCCTTCACGAGCAACACTTTTCTCTTCAAGCAAGTACAACCAAACATACAGTCTGGCCTGCGGCAGTGGGTAGGCTGACGTTTCTCCAGTGCTAGACTAGCACATATGCAACCCAGTCGGCAGAAATCATTACTGCAAGGAGGTGCTCGTCGTTTTATTATTTTGTGGATAGGTTTGTTTTTGAGAGAAGCCTAAGAGAAGTTTTAAAGAAGTACACACTTCAAATTTTAGTAAGAGGAAATTTGACTAAGACTAAATCAAGTATATGCAAAATCGCTATTCAAAGTTCATTTTGAATAACCCCTCCAACCACATGGTTTACATAAGAAAATCTGTCAACTATACCAAAAAAACCAAACAGAAGAGAGCTTCTATCTGAAGTCAGAGACAACTTGAGACAGCTAAACCACCTTGGTAGTAAGTATGATGTGAAGAAAGCAAAAAAAGTTACCATGTGACAAGCAAGTTACATGACAGAGATGTTCTTGCAGTTAGCACAACTGAAAAAAGAAGTGACAAAGAGCAGGGAAAGGCAGTTACTGAACAGCAATTGTATAAATCCGAATTTTTAATGGTGAGAATTTGAGATAACTCAAATTATTGATGATTCATATCAATACGCTACTATCATAATTAGTTTTTTCACATACTGTTGTCAGCAATTTTCAACTTTCACTGCAAAGGCTACACCACAGAGGAACATCACACTTTGTCATGCTCCTTAGCAGCTTCAGCCTTATCTTCTGCATCTACATGCAACATCAGTAAGCACAGATTTGGAAAAGCAACAGTACAGAAAGGAAGGAAACTATTACACATCTACCTGAGCTGTAAGCAGGGTTGTCAGGGAGATGTCTGCTCGCTCCTCTGTAATGTAAGTCCGTGGTTTGCCATCCCAGAGAGCACAGTCTTCCAAGTCCATTAACTTGACTTGAGATTTCGACAAACCTGGTGGACGAGCTGCGTGGTGCTGTTGTGATGCTTGGCGCAAACTAATCTGTTTTGCAAGTATGTTTTCATCCAGAGCTGGCACCGTGGAACTATCTGCTTGGTTAGTCAAACTGCTATTTGAGACACACTTAGCAGCCTTTTCCCCTGATGCTGACGAGTTCTGTTTCTGCTTTGCAGAGTAAGGAGAAGGCAGTATAGGTTTGTAAGACGATTTCACTCTACTGTTTGTAGATGTCTGTCTGCTCTGAGTCCTTGTCTTCCTAGAGGTAGATGATGGAAGAGCAGGTTTGAACGTGTAAGATGTTGATGGAATTATGGTGGACTGCTTCTTTAGAACGCTGTCGAGTGTTCGCACATAGCTGGTGCTCTTAGTGGGAAGCTGATACACAACAGGAGACGTGGGAGTGCTAGAAGAGAATCCCATACTCGTTTCCATCAGCTTCCCTTCATTTTCCAGGTACTCATCCAGCTTGTCACTACAGAACGCTGAGCGATTCTTCAAGGAACCTTCTGAACTGCCACCTAAATAAATAAAGAAGCACTTTAACCTGCTCCTGGGAAAACAAACTGACAAAACTTAGAATAATTAAACAATGCAGAAGAGAGAAAATACCTCTCTAAAACATATATACACACAGTTGTTTTAGAAGAGTACAACACAGGCACACCAAATACAATCCACGCTGAAACACAGCCAGTGAAGACTTTACATGATTATCGTTCACAAAACCAGTAAGCCTTCAACAAGCAGTGCTTCTATGCAACTTTGTCCTGAACATCTAAGCCTACCTGGTACAGCCCAACACATCTGGAATACTCCAACACGACATGGTATGAGAGTTCAGAAGGTACAATATAAATTTCTAATCTAAATAGAAAGTAAAAACAGGGTCCCTGGGCAACAGACTTCTGAAACTATCATACTGCCAAGTAAACTCAGAACTGAAAAACAAAACCAGAACTATTACAGCTTTGATCTTCACTCAGGCCTTCTGTGTAAAACAGCATACATGTATTTTTATCTTGCTCAGAGTAAGTTTCTTCTCTCATAAACCTCCACTCTGACCATGGAAACAGTACCAAAAAGTTATTTATTCATGACAGTTTCAATATAAAATATAAATCTCGTTAAGACACACAAGATTACCAAACTGCAAGATCTATGGAAGGTCAAGAAAAAGGCTATGTGCTGGAAATGTGTACGCTGATCTGTTTGGGGTTTTTTTTTTTACCTTCATTTCTAGAAGCACCATGAAGCTTCCCTCGCCAGCCTTTGATTTTTGTGAAATCGTTTGTCTTTCCTGTCCTGGAAACAAAAGGAAATCCGGTATCTGGAAAAGAAGAAAGCTGGCCTCAGTTTATGAGCCAAGCTTGACTGTATCAATGTCCTAGCAAAACCCTGCTTATTCCTTTTCAGCACAGATGAACAGCAGTAAATCAAAAGGCTGAATTAAGAGACTTGATTGGTTTGCTTGTTTGTTTCTTAAATTAACAGAATACTTAAAGCCAAGGTTCCTGTAGAGTTCTGCTGTATGGCCATGCATCTGCTGTCCCATACAAAAGATGTCTTCTCCTGTATTTTCAGTTTTAAGTCTCCTTAGCAATGGTGCAAGCAGTTGATTCCAAAACTCCAACAGGCAAACCAGCTAGTTGGTAGGCTAAAATGGAACAAGCAGGTTTTGAGCCAATACTACGACTTTTCTCAGCAAGGAAAACAATTTGAATCTCTCCTCTCAATAGAGTAAATTAATTTTATAAGACCTAAGGAAAATTCATTTACCGTTTGCTGTTCTGTCAGATCCAGCTCAGTATCAATTCAGAGTAAAGGCAGCGAATAATCACAAAAGGCAAACAGCGACATCTCTGTCAAGTTGTTCATCAGCTCTGGGAGCTAAGTTGGAACGTAAATACACTAACAGGGATCTGTGTGGCTGTTTTACATATTGCTAGGCTTAAAATAATCGCATTTAACTCTGAGCTGACTGAGGCCTTCTGAATTGAATCTGCATCTATAGCTGAGATATATCTGCCTCTACCAGCTCCCAAAATTAGATTGTGGTGCTGTCTCCAGACATACCTAAGATAAGAGGGTCATCAAGAGCAGTCAGCATGGTTTCACCAAGGGGAAGTCATGTTTGACCAACCTGGTAGCCTTTTATGAGGCCATAACCAGGTGGATAGATGATGGTAGGGCAGTGGACGTGTTCTATCTTGATCTGAATAAAGCATTTGACACCATCTCCCATAGCATCCTCACAGCTAAACTGACGAAGTGTGGTCTAGATGATCGGGCAGAGAGACGGACTGTGAATTGGTTTAAGGAAAGAAGTCAAAGAGTTGTGATCAATGGGACAGAGTCCAGTTGGAGGCCTGTATCTAGTGGGGACCCCCAGGGGTTGCTACTGGGACCAGTACTATTCAATATATTCTTCAATGACCTGCACAAGGGAACAGAGTGCACTATCAGCAAGTTTGCTGATAACACAAAACTGGGAGGAGAGGCTGACACTCCATGGGGCTGTGCTGCCATTCAGCAAGAGTTGGGCGGGCAAAAATTTAATGAAATTCAACAAGGGCAAGT